GGCACTGGTCGCGGCAGGCCACGCCGGACTGGGAGGAGGGCGACGCCTCGCTCCCGCCCAGGACCTCGCGCCGCCACAACGAGGAGCGCCGACGCGTCGCTGACGAGGAGGAGACGGTCCTGGACGCCGCTGAGACCGGCAGCGTCGGCAGCCTGGATCGAGGTGAGGAAGGGCGCCAGGAACGGAGCTCCAATGGCAAAGGAAGCAAGGCGGTCTCCCAAGGCATTCCAAAGCTGACTCTTGTTCACTGTAGTTCATTCAGACAGCTTGCTCTGTTCCTTTGGAAAGGCCAAGTTTGTAGGTTTTGAGGTTCGTGGTTGGATGTAGGGCATGGCTCAGGGCAACCTGCTGCCAGGAACGATTAGATTGGATAAGAAAAACGATAATTTTTAAAATGAAATGAGCGTAGTACAGGTAACTTTTAATTAATCACAAGAAATGTAACAGCTTTTGATGTACTGTGGATTTCCTTCTTAGATTAGTATACTTGATTTGATCTGAAGAATCTGGCCGCAAAGTTTTTCTGTCATCCAGAGGGAATAAGCCCCAGGGCGCTGTGCACTGGTGCCAGCCTTCAATTTCGCTGCCGTCAACCTATAGTTTCACAACCTTACTTTACATGATTATTTTTCGAAGGGAATACGTATATCTCCAAAGATCTTTTTTCAGACCCTAAGTCACACTACGAAAACACAGGGTATTGATGATACGCTAACTGGATTTGTTAAATGTATTTACCAATGTATAGAGGCAGTAACAAAAGGAACTTACATCATAACCTGTAATTCTCTAAAGAAGTTCATTAGCTCTGAATATGTGTCCACGTGTCGAAGGAAGTTATACGGTTTATCCCTTACTCCCGCCCTCCCCCCCCCCCCACACACACACACATTCACACCCAGCCAAATGAGATCGATTTTTTGTGACCCCGTCTACATTACAATGCTACACCCCCCCCCTTCATGTTTATATACACATACACACGTATACATATATAAATACATATATAAATACACGCCCCCCCCTCCCGATTCCAGTGACTCAGTCCCCTGCCTTGACTCAACTAATTTTGCATGGTCTTTTTTTCCCTCGTCCTATCCACTTCCTAAGGTGTGAGAGCCGTGCTGAAAGAATGAAAGGCTTACTTTGTGCCAGTCCTGAACGGCCCATGGGATGCATGGGCACGGTATTCCCCTGTTTTAGTTGCCTAGCCCTTAACCCTCAAGGGGACCCTGAGGGATGGACTGTTTCTCCCCCCAACATACTCTAGGCTTACCATAGCCAATAATGTTATACCATTATTAGGGGCAATAAGATTCACCCCTTCATCAAATAACCCCTCCCGATTCTCTGACCCAGGCTCTCCTTTGACTGTGGCTCTGAACACTACAACTACTGTCACCCAAATCAACACTCAACTCCCAGGAGACATTTCTACTCTCCCAATATGCTCAACATCATCACCTCTACCCCCTCAATCTTCTTCATCAACTACACCATCCTCCCTTATTACTACATTACAGCCTTATTGTCCGTCTCTCCATAATACTGCCTCCCTCAACACTAAGCCCTCTTCCACACGCCCCCGTGTTTCTACTACCCCCATCTCTACAAAAATCGTAAAAACACTATTTAACCCTGCCAAATGGGACCGATTTTTCGCCATCCCTCCGTAGGCAAAGTATCTTTTCGTAGCCGACCCAATCCTTCCCGTCTCATCATAGTAACATCTAAAAACCAAGCTATAGCATTATCAAATCTAACAGATCTCTCTGGTAACCCCATTCCTGCGGAACCTCCCCCAACCCTCAATACTTGCACCGGAACTGTTTCTATCTTCCTAGCAAACTGCCCTTTCTATAACAAAAAATGGTCAGATTATGATGCGATATCAGTACAGTGCTACTCCATTCTTCCCAGAGGTCATCGTAAGAATCTCACTAACATTACTAAAATTACTTTCCTTAGACATGACCTTCCCTTTAATGTTTAAATTGGTGGAGAATCCCTCCCTGTCCAACTATATCAACCTCCTCCCCGTAAGTGCCAAAATTGTTGGCGTTTAGGACACAGCCAAACATTGCCGTTCCACAGCCATATGCCCTCTGTGTGCCCAACCTGGCCATTCTCAATCAAACTGCTCTGCACAGTCACGCACATGTGCCAACTGTGGTAGCCCCCATAATGTATTTTATAGGGGCTGCCCCACCTACAAATTTGAATCTGAGGTGGCAACTTTCAGATTCAGACTTGGACTCGCTGTGTGTGAAGCCAGACAGGAAGCGACATGTTTTTTTCTCATACTCCCTCCTCCAGTAATGTCACTCGCTCTGCCCCTCCCCCTACCTCCCAAGCTCCTACACCCTCCCCTAAGCCTATCCCTCCCACATCTTACTTCCCCTCTTCTACCTCCTACCTGCAACAGACAAACTAAACGTTCCACCCCTTCTCCTACCACACACTCCCCTCCACCTACCTTTGCCTCTACTCTTCAGACACCAGTCTCCTCTTCCCCCCACCCTCATTAGGAAACTTTTGTCTCACAAAACTCCCCAACCAACTCCATTACAGAAACTCTTGAAGATGTTCAAAACTATCTACTCGAGTCCCAAACTTACACTGAAACCCTTCACCCACCTTCAAATTCCGCAACTCCTGCTCCCTTCACACACTCAAGAGACTGCCGATATCAACCTTCTCCTACTCATATTCCCCCTACACCCCTTCCTCCTACTCCCTCCCAACACAGCCTATCCCCCCCAGCTCCAGCTCCACCTACATTAACCCTCCCACCATCCCATCTATCCCTTTCACTTCGTCCAGGATACATACGCAAATCCCTTATGTCAGAACTATCCCCTTCCCCAGATCCTCCACCTCCGGATACCCCTCTAGATTCACCACCACCTCCCCACTCTCTTCCCTACTCTCACCTCCTAGCTCCTTCCCCTTCCAATTCTCAATACGCACTGTAACCGTTATCACTCATAAAGAAACTCAAGTATAACTATCCTTCATTGGAATATTTGCGGCTTCCGTTCTCACAGACCCCCTTTTCTCTTATAACCCATCCATTATATGCCTTCAAGAGACTTTTCTTACACATCCTATACCAATTCCCGTTTTGTCTCGTCCTCACACTCCCTTTATGTCTCGTCTATACATATCAATCAGGAAACACGTTATGCCATACCTCCTCCTCAAATCACTGTCCCTTGCACAGTTATTTGCATCTTTCTTCGCTGCTGGATCACAGTGATTTCAATCTACTTCTCCCCTTCCTACCCCTTTGACTTTGTTGCCTTTGAAAATCTAATTTCCCAACTCCAACCACCTTTCCTCATAGTTGGTGATTTTAACTGGTTTCTATGAAGCCTGGAACAGTTACCGCTATAAACGAGGTACCCCTAATCAACTATCAGCCCTTATCTCCTTTAAAAGAGGCTCCACCTGTCTTTGTTGTACATTCTGGAACAGTAAAACAAATAGCTGGCAAAATTATGTTTCCTCATTTATATTTATATCTGTATCAACTGTTTGGCACCAGATCCATAAACTATCAGGCAAACATTCTCCATTCAGGCCCCGTCCTCCATATTCGAGATACTCTCATCTCTGATCCTCTCTAAATCGCCAATAAACTGGGTGACTATTTCAGCCAGGTCAGTAGTGGTTCCCACCTTTCTCCACACTTCTCTTCTATTAAGACCTTCAGAGAACGCACCCCCATTATCTTCACCCTATCCTCCTCCGAGTCCTATAATGCTCCTTTTTTCTTCCTCTGAACTCATTTCTGCCTTACAGTTGTACCATAACACTCGTGAAGACCTGACGGTATTCACTACTGTATGCTTAGACAACGCCCATCTTCCTCCCTATCCTTCTTATTAACAATTTTTAACCACATATGGACGTCAGTAAACGTTCCTTCTCATTGGCGAGAAGCTCTTATCCTTCCCTTCCTGTGGTATTAATGTGGTATCTTGAATTTCACAATCTTCTCTCTCCTTCCCAATTTGGTTTCCGTCGTGCCCGTAGCACAGCTGACCCCATACTTAATCTTTCCTCTTCAAATGCACTTCCCATGTCAAAATTGCCTCTTCCACATCCTTCTTTCCTCAATTCAAAGGCATCCCACAAGGCAGTGTGCTCAATACCACTTTATTCCTTCTTGCTGTTAATGACATTGTCTCAGTTCTACCACCAGGAGCCCAGCCATCACTATATGTTGATGATTTAACCATCTATGCCTCAGGCACATACATGCCAAATCTCTGCCAATTTCTTCAATCTGCAATATCATCAGTATCTTCCTGGGCCACAAACCATGGCTTCCGCTTTTATACCTCCAAATTTCTCTCCATTTTTTTCTATAGCGCACATGTAGGTCCTCAACCTCCACTCTTCTTATATGGCACTCCACTCCAATACCGCTCCTCTAGCAAATTCCTAGGCGTTATTTTTTACTCCAAACTGTCCTGCCAAGACCATATTCTTTACATTATAGAGAAAACTCGCCGCCGTCTCCGAATCTTATAAACTCTATCCCATATATCCTGGGGCTCAGATCGCAAAACTCTCCATCTGCATGTTACCTTGATCCTCTCCACTCTCGATTATGGATGCCATATCTACTCTGTCTCAGCCTCTCTCCTTGCCCATCTTGATGCAATCCACCACTGCGGTCTTCACTTAGCCCTAGGTGCCTTCTGCTCCTCTCCAGTTAAGAGCCCGTACACTGAATCAGGCATACCATCTCTCTCTGGACGCTGTACCCTTCTCTCTCTCCGATGCTATACTCAATTCCACCAACTTCCCCTCAAAGTAACTATCCCACTTCCTACTTTGGTTCTTCATGTTTTCCTACTCCTTTCTCCATTCACATGGATACCCTCCTCTCCTATTCCCCTTTTCCCCAACTCCGACGTCTCCTGTTCTCTGTCCATTCTCCCCCTCCATGGTTTATACCTTACCCCCGTATTTGCTCCTCTGTTTTCCCTGGCCCGCCAAAATCAGTTATCCCCCCTTCTGTCCTTCTCACCCACTTCTTTGGCCATATCTCAATTCATTCCTCCAATATTCATGTTTACACTGATGGCTCCAAATCCATCTCTGGTGCTGGTTTCGCTGTAACATTTTCAACTCGCACTTTCAAATACCCCCTCCCTCCTGAATCCAGTGCCCTTACTACAGAACTGTATATATGTATATGTGTTTCAAATACCCCCTCCCTCCTGAATCCAGTGCCCTTACTACAGAACTGTATATATGTATATGTGTTTTTGCCTTAAAGCACATACACTCACTCCCTTCTTTCTCTTTTATAATTTTTACTGACTCTCGTAATTCATTAACTCCTAAAGTCAATACACTCGACCAACTTTCTTGTTTGTAAGATCCAGAACTGGTTATTCTACCTGTCCACACGACATAAAACAGTCAGATTTTGCTGGGTGCCGAACCATGTTGGAATCACCGGCAAGCAGATACTCTAGCACGCTACGCCGTTATGTCCACATCAACACCAACCACGTTTCTCACGTATCCCAGCCACGGATTATTACCCCTACTTTAAGACCTTGTATAACCGATGGCAATCTTTCTGGTTAAGTCTCCACACTGTAAAACTATCATTCTCCTCCCGGTCAGCTCCATTTCATCGGAGCAGACGTTGGGAGACGGCTTTCGCCTGCTTACGCAATGGCCACACCCGTCTAACACACTCCAACCTGATGTCACACTCTGATCCACCCCCTATGTTCCCTATTAATGTCCCTCTTTCAGTTCCACACATTCTATTGTCATGCCCATGCTTTGATGCAGCCCGTACCTCTGTTTTCCCCCACCTATCCTCCCTTCACCGGCCTCCCAACCTATCAGACATCCTGACAGAATCTCACACTTTCAGCTTTGACACTTTCTCCGTTTTCCTTCTCCAGACGCATACATATCCTTCACTTGATCTAACCCCTTTACCTTACCCGACCTTAACCCATTCACTCGTCATTTCCTTTGCCCAGCTTTAGCAACTAATCACTAACTCAACCACCCTTCACTACCATTTACTATAGTGCTACATGACCTTAGATGTCTAGCACATTTATTTTGCTTTTAGCCATTAACCATATACATACACGCTCGGGCGCGCGCGCGCGCGCGCGCACACACACACACACACACACACACACACACACACACACACACACACACACACACACACACACACACACACACACACACACACACACACACACACATATACATACACACATTCATCATCAATCACAGAACGGTTAATTCATTGCTGAATTGCCGTGGTTCTCCAAGCATCTCTACTCTGTGAGAGTATCATGGAGGATAATCGGGAAGAATAGCAGAGTAGGGTTCCTAGTACACTTTCTCTGCCGCAGGTTTCCTCTACCGGAAGGTGCACCTCTGCCATTTCTTCACACATACATACATACATACATACATACATGTATATGATACAGCCATTCAGTCCATGGCAATTCCACGCCTGATTGGATGCCCTTCCTAATCAACCGTGGTTCGGCGCGCTAACATTTGTGCCACGGTGGCGATTACCACACACACAGTGTAGTATGTATGTATGTATACATATAATATATATATGTGTATACATACATACTACACCGTGTGTGTGTGTGTGTGTTTGTCTGTTTTGCATTGATAATGTTCTTGCTGACCTGCGTTCATTTCCTGCACCGCCAGTGGATGGTACACAGGAGTAGTTTAGAAGCACAATAAACCGAGTTAGTTTGATTTAAGTCCAACAGCCGGTCACACCAAACCCTAAATTATTATTATCAGTAGTAGTAGTACTATTATTACACACAAACATTTTATAGATAGATAGATAGATATGTGTGTGTGGATTAAGGCACTACATGCTCCCCACAAATGAATCTAAATGTTTAGTATTCTATTGTTTTGTGTAGCTATATAACCAGAGTCTCCGTGTCTTGTGCAGATTCCGTGACGAGCGAGGGCAAGAGGCGCCGGCGCCGCCACCGCAAGTTCCGGCGTCGCGGCGGCGGCGGCGGCTCCGAGATGGGCGACGGCGAGGGCTTCGGGACGTCGGCGGACGAGGGCTGGGGCAGCGAGGAGAACTGGGGCTCGCACACGGGCGAGAGCTGGCACGCCAACACCGGCGAGAACTGGGGCTCGCACGGCGCCGGCGAGAGCTGGCATGCCAACGCCGGCGAGAACTGGGACGCTCAGCCCCCGTCCGCGCGCGCCGCTAAAGAGCGCACTCCGGGCGGCGACTACGGGCCGCGTCGGGGCGCCGGCCGGGGCCCCCCTGACGCGCCCTCCAGCCGCGAGGGCACGCTAAACCGTAGGCGGCCGCCTCGGCACGAGGGCACGCCCGCCAGGCAGTCCCCTGCCCGTCGCCCGCCCCCGCCTCGCAAGCCCGCGCAGTCGGCCGTGAACGGCAACTAGAGCGTGTCGCCGCCGCCGCCAGAGCCCGAGGGATGGCCC